GATCATATTCAGCATCTCTCCAGTGGACGGGTGAGCACTGTACCTGGATCGAATGCTTTCCACAGTCTTCTCCGAACCATGCTTCTTCAGTGAAGCCACCACACCGCCTATTTGAGCGTCCCTTCCGCAATTCCGGCGATTAGGCTGGCTTTAGAAAAGAACTTCCCAAATCCGGCCAATGTTTTTGCTTTTCCCCCAATCTCCCATTCTCTCTCCTATCGCACTGAATCGGAACCAATTTTTCATGTTTTTTTTGTTTGACTGCAGAGAGAAGGCAGGATGCAAAGCGAGGAAGGAGAATTCTGTGGGAAGAGATGTTGAACAAGACAGACGAAAATACTGGACGGAGGGAGTATATATACTATATACCTAACTCCCTATATTTTCCATTTTAACCCCACCCCCCACCCAAATAAATAATTTCGAGTAAACAAAATACACCCCCCCCCAAGGAAATAAGAAAAGAGACCCAAAATGTAACAAACAAACGATGACGACGACTCACAGTGACTCGGATCTCATTCATCATCGGAGAAAGACGGAACATCAGACGATGATGACGACGCACCATTCTCACCATTGGGCTTCTTCTCACCGTTCCCTCCTGATTTCCCATTTCTCTACTCCACAGAAGCTGCCACTCCACCACCGCCGACGCCTCCTTTTCCCGGTCCGCCGCCACCGACACCTCCCTCCTGACCTAGAACACGGCTTTCAATTCTTCGAGTGATTTCCAGCACATCCTTCACATTTGCATCGATCATATTCAGCATCTCTCCAGTGGACGGGTGAGTACTGTACCTGGATCGAATGCTTTCCACAGTCTTCTCCGAACCATGCTTCTTCACTGAAGCCACCACGCCGCCATTTCCGCACTTCTGGCGATTAGGCCGGCTTTGGAAAGAACTTCCCAAATCCGGCAAATGTTTTTGCTTTTCCCCCAATCTCCCATTCTCTCTCGTATCGCACCAAATCGTAACCAATTTTTCATTTTTTTTTGTTTGACTGCAGAGAGAAGGCAGGATGCAGAGGGAGGAATGAGAATTCTGTGGGAAGAGATGTTGAACAAGACAGACGAAATTACTAGACGGAGAGAGTATATATACTATATACCCAACTCCCTATATTTTCCATTTTAACCCAACCCCCCACCCAAATAAATAATTTCGAGTAAATAAAATACAACCCCCAAAAGAAATAAGAAAAGAAACCCGAAATGTAACAAACAAACGATGACGACGACTCATAGTGACTCGGATCTCATTAATCATCGGAGAAAGACGGAACATCGGACGATGACCACGACGCACCATTCTCACCACTGGGCTTCTTCTCACCGTTCCCTCCTGATTTCCCATTTCTCTTTTCCACGGAAGCCGCCATT